CCAAAATTGGGGCTTGGATCTAAATCAAAATTGGGCTCAAATCATGGGCCAATTGAGCTTGGATTTTGTTTATTTTGGTCACATTGAAGGTTAATTTGAGTTTGGAATTGAAATCTAGGGAGATTGAGATCAAATTGATGGACATTTGAGTTGAATTTGGGGAAATTTAGGCCTTTAAAGGCAAATTTGGGGGTCTTGGTCAAAGATGGTAAAATTGGACAAATTGGGCCATGTGGTAGTTGATAAAAATTAAATTGGGAATATTTGGAATATTTTGAAATTTTTTGGGATTTTTTAGAATTTTTAAAATTTTGGGCCCATGAGGGGGCAATTTGGTAATTTGGCATTTTTTGGTGATTTTGGGTAATTTGGGTGTTTTCAAAAGGTTTGAAATATTTTTTGAACATTTTTTGGGTATTTTGGATAAATTTGGGAATTTTGACCAAATTGAGGGTTTCAAGTGTACTTAGGTAATTTGGTGGAGTTTATGGGCAAAAGTCCAGGCTAAGTATTTTGGGTAAAATTGGGGAGCTAACCACCAAAAGTAAGTCATGGACCATTGAAAACTCCATTTGGGTCCTCTATGTACTGGTCTTAGCAAAACCCTAGCCTAGGGCTAATAAGTTTAGGGGACCATCTACATGAGTTTTCTGAAGGCTCAAGGGACCAAAGTCAGGAAATTCTGGGTTTAGGGTAGTGAGTGATTGTGAGTGAAGTGAGTGTCTTAGCTCTAGACCAACACCCAAGGTCAACCCTAAGGTCAAATAGCCCTATAGGAACTCTCCTTGAGCTCCCCCATATGACCCCACCTACTAAGTGCTAGAGGTTAACACCGATATGTGGAACTTCAAGTTGAGTAAAGAAGAGTTTAGAATTTCTAATGGTAAGGGTGCCTTTTTCTAGTTCTCTAGTTCTCTAAGAATAGTCAATCCTATGGCTAGACCCTAGGCTACTAAAGAGAAAGCCTAGACCTCAATCAAAAGTGAGGTCAACATAACCATCCTCTCCTATAAAAGGTAAAGATGATGAATGTTACAGGATGGATGCAATAAGATATCTAAGTGAATGTCATTTCAAAGCAACTTATGAAGAAAAATATGAAATGAAAGAGTTGGAACATGAGCAAGAAGAGGAATTAGAGAAATCTGATGATTTTCATGAGAAAGATTCAAATTAAGTTCAAGAAAGTTTTGAAGTTTTGGACACGACAGAAAAGAAAAATCTTTTTATCCATCGATTGAAAAACCTTCTGAACTTAAATTGAAGTTACTTCCTAACCATTTAAAATATGTCTTTTTAGGTGATTCTTAAACATTACCAGTTATAATTTCCTCAAATTTAACATTATAAGAAGAAGAGAGTTTCATGAAAACTTTCAAGAATTATAAGAAAGCCTTTGGATAGACAATTGCTGATATTAAAGAAATTGTTAAGAAAGAAAACTACAAACCTAGGGTTGATCCTCATTGGAGATTAAATCCTGTTATAAATGAAATTGTTAAGAAAAAAATTTTAAAGTGGTTAGATGCTGGAATTATCTACTTTATTTTAGATAGTGCATGGGTTAGTCAAATTCATTATTTATGTAATGTCTCTGCTACATTTCAAAGATGTATGATGGTTAACTTTTGTGATTTAATTGAAAAAGGAATTGATATTTTTATGGAAGATTTTTCAATGTTTAAAACTTCATTTGAATCTTGTTTAGAACATTTATCAAGAGTTCTTAAGTGCTGTGAAAAAAAAAATTTAGTCCTTAATTGATAAAAAAATGACAATTTATGATAGCAGGAGGAATTGTTTTAGGACATCATATATCAGAAAATGGTATGAAAGTAGATCTTGCAAAAATTCAAGTGATCCCTAATTTACCTCACCTAATTTACCTCACCCAACAACCTCACCCAACAAATGTGAGGGAAATTAGAAGTATTTTAGGACATGTTAGATTCTATAGGTAATATATTAAAGACTTCTAAAAAATTGCTAAGCTTCTATGTCATTCACTCGAAAAAGACGTAATTTTTAATTTTGATAAGGAGTGCCTAAAAACCTTTGAGCTATTAAAAGAAAAATTAGTTACTGCACCAATTATTGTTTCACCAAATTGGGAAAAACATTTTGAATTGATGTATTTTGAATTGATGTGTCATTTTGAATTGATGTGTGATGCAAGTGATTATGCTATTGGAATTGTTTTAGGACAAAAATATGATAAGATTTTCTAAGTAATTTACAATGCTAGTAGAACTCTAAATGAAGCTTAAATTAATTATACCACAACTGAGAAAGTGATATTAGCAATAGTACACGCTTTTGATAAATTTGGATCACATTTAATTGGAACAAAATGTGTTGTGCATACAGATCATTCTGCTATTAAATATTTAATGAAAAAGAATGATGCAAACCTAAGACTGATAAGATAGATTCTTCTTATGCAAGAATTTGACTTTAAAATAGTAGATAGAAAGGGAGCTAATAATCAAACTAATAATCAAATTGTTGATCATCTGTCCATGCTTGAATTAGAAATTGAATTAAAAAAACCACTCTATTTTAAAAAAGAGATTAATGATATTTTCTAGATAAAATATTGTTCAATATTAATAAGTGGTGTGTTCCATGGTATGCCGACATTGTAAACTTTATTGTTAGTGATATTGTACCATTTAGTCTAACATACCAACAGAAGAAGAATGTGCTTTTAGATTAAATTTATGAAATTATCCAAAAATGACATGATTCTGATTTTGGAGGACATTCTGGTGTTAATAAAATAACATACAAAATTTTATAATTTGGATTTTATTGACCTACAATCTTTAACCTACAATCTTTAGAGATTCTTTAGAGATGTTAATGCTTATATTAAAACTTGTGATCGATATCAACGTGTAGGCAATATTTCTAGAAGGAATGAGATTCCCCACAATTATATGTTGAAATTTGAGATATTTGAAGTTTGGAGATTATATTTCATGGGACCATTTATACCATCTTTCAGAAATTTTTATATATTGTTAGTAGTAGACTATGTATCCAAATGGATAGAAGTTGTTGCTTTACCCCAATGTGATGCTCAAAGTGTTGCAAAATTTTTGAAAATTGAACATATCTTGTAGATTTGGGATGCCGAGAGTGATCATAACTAATGGGGGAAATCATTTAAGAAATGCAATAATGGAGAAATTAGTAAAGAAATATCATATCAATCATCGAATTGCTATTGCTTGTCATCGTCAGACAAGTGGTTTGGTTTAATTATTCAATCATAAAATTAAAAGAATTTTAAAAAAATCTGTGAATCCAACAAAAATGGATTGGTCAGTCAAACTTGATTATATTTTGTGGGCTTATAGGACTGCATATAGAACTATATTTGTGGGCTTATAGGACTGCATATAGAACTCTTATAGGAATGTCCCCAAATAGGCTAATACTTAAGAAAACTTGTTATTTACCACTTACACTTGAGCATAAAGCATATTGGGCTATTAAAAAATTTAATTGTAACTTAAAAGATGCTCGTGAGAAAAGACTATTACAATTAAATGAGCATGAAAAGATAAGGAATGAATCTTATGAGAGTGCTAAGATAAATAAAAAAAGATGAAGATGTGGTATGATCAGAGGATTTTTATTAAAAATTTTGTATAATGCAAGATTAAAATTATTTTTAGGGAAACTTAAGTCCAGTTAGATGGGCACATTTATTGTGATAAAAGTTTATCTCTATGGAGCTGTGGATATTAAAGATCCTAAAACTGAGAAAATATTCAAAGTGAATGGTCACGACTGAAACTCTTTTGTTTAAGGGATCAGCTTAAATTAAATGATCTTATGTTGTTGGGTCAAACAGAATAAGTACTGATTACGTCGGGGTGACGACATAAAACCAAGCTCTTTGTCGAAGGCAACCCATAGTTATCAGTGTGCATTTGTTTTAAATGATATGTTGTTGTGTTTGATTAAAAAAAATGTGGTAGTATTTTTGAAAACATAATAATATAGTGAGGATTCTAAGACCTTAATGGATGACTTAGATGAGTTAGAGTACATATTTGGACAATAAGTAGACATGTGCTAAAGTAAGCATAGGCGCTTAAGAGCCAAAACGCGGAGCTTAAGTGCGGTAGTTAAAAAAAAAAGATGCAAAATTAATATTCTCGAAGGATTAAAAGTGTTTTAGTGGCTTTAAACGTGATTTAGTGGTTTGTAAATGTAAGTAGTGTGTCTAGGCTTCATCCAAGGCCAATAAATAGCATGGGAATGAAGAGAATTTTTACCCCACTTCAAATTTTCATCCTAAAGTCTAAGTGAAGAGAAAAAGAGTGAGAGAACTTACAAAAATGTCTTCTTGGGAGATTGAAATGAAGAATAAAAAAGAAGTCATTAAGAAGAGGATCGTGAGTCAAAGTGCGCAAGAGTTATACAATGGATTCCTAGTCGTTAGTATAGAAGGAATAGCGGAGACCATCTCAAAGATTGAGGCAGACGTGGCTTCAATCAAAGCAAAAATGAATGAGACTAACACACTTGGAGCATATCAAATGACATCCCAAATTTTTACAAGGGGCTCATTTGGTGCTTGAAAATAAAAAATTTATGCTTTAAAATAATAAATCTATTAAATTTATGATTTAGTTAATTGAATTAGACATATTGACTTAAGACTTTATATTTTTTTTTAAAACACCCTACAAAATGAGGATTTTAATTTCGCACATTATTATAAAATTAAATGATCATCTATAAAATATATTTTTTACTTCTCACCCTGATAAATATTCAATATATTTTATACTTCACACAAAACATACATGCCCCACAATTTTTATGTATTTACATTTCAGTCACCTATAATTTGATATTTATACTTATAAAATTTTGGCGTTTTAAAATTATGGATTAAAAGTTGTAATTCAATTTTTAAAAGATAATAATAGTGATATTTCTTTGCTATGTTAAAGATTTTAGTGGTAATGCAGATAAAGTTTAGGTAAATATGTAAGAAAATTGTGGTGTGCAAGAAAATGGCCAAAAAAAAGTATTATAAACTCTTGCTCCTTTTTTCACAGATTGATGCTTTCCAGCCTTTAGCCATCTCTATCCCCACTCTGACGAAAAAATCAGCCATTCTCCGTCAGCGGCATACGGTCGAACAACTGATAGGCAATGGCAGGAAAACTCTTCCTGAGCTGGACCCGCCCCACCCAAGAGCAGCAACAAAATTGCACGGCGATTGCCGGAGGATTTAATTACAACACAACCCTTCAGGGCACCTCCGCCCTCTCTGCTGAAGACAAAATCCTTCAGGACAACCTCGCAAAAAATGGTTTCTTCATCAACCGAGCTCGTGTACTCCTCGGCACCGGCTCCATCACCTACGCGCTTGCCAAATCCGCCGTCCTCACCTGGAGGTAACCATTAGACCCAGCCCTTCAATTCTTCCTTTCTTCCATCAAATCCTACAGTGTTAATTCAAGTTAAGATATCAGACAATTTGGGCTGAAATGGGCATTCGTGGATCCACAAACCCCGGTGGAGAAAGGAAGAAGATTCTGCGTCTGTGTGAACGAGTTTTTTCCGTGGGTAATGATGCCGCTTCAAATCGCTTACGTCGCCGACGCTTCCATCCAGCCTCCCTCAGCCGCCGGTATCAAGGATTCCTTCGGATTCGGAAGCGGAACACTTCAAGGCCATCTTCTTGTATGAATCCCCGCCTCCATTTCCAGTTTCTGTCGTTTTATCTCTTCCTTCGTGGGGGTTTTAAGCCTTTTTTTTTTTTTTCTTGGGATGTGAAGCAGGCCGGACGGAGAAGAGAGGTTTTCGGTTCAGTGGGATGAGGATGATCGCGTCTGGTACGAAATTTTTTCCTTTTCAAAGCCTGCGCACATTATCTCCGCCATTGGTTTGCCCTATGTTCGATTCAGACAGAAATGCTTTGCTCGGCAGTCTGCAGAGGCAATGGTAAAGCATGTCTCTGCTCAGAAGCCCAAAATTGAAGACATTTAATCCGACAAGTTTTAACTTTTTCAATGTTCATAAGCCTCTGTACTGTGAAAGTTTGAAGGACTCTCTTAGTGATATTAATTTTTTTTAAAGTAGAATACACAAGTTATGATTTATGACAATTAACACCGAAATATTAAAATAAGTAAATATGAAAGTTTCAGTGTTTGATAAATAAACGCCGCCGCCACCATCATCATCATCATACAATTGCTGTTTTTGTTCCTTAAAACTCAAGTCAGGATACAGGCAACAATTGCTGCTTTTGTTCCATTATTTGTCTTCTAAATTATTAATATAGTTAATATCTATATTTATTTATATTCCATTTTAATTGTAAATTATATCAAATGCAGCATAGAAATATTAATTTATTTAAGATAAAATAATCTTGTGTTAATGTATGTGATATAAATAAACATAAAAAATTTAAATATAAATAAATAAATATATGTAAATATTGTTTAGGACGACTAGTTTGACATTGTGACACAACAAATCACGGTTTTGGTAAGAGATAAATGATCATTTAAGGTAACGTAGAGCACACAAATGTTCGGTCATGACAGATATGCCATTCAAATTCTAAATGATAACAGGCCTATATTTATTTAGTAATCTTTAAAAAGTCATCACTAAGCTCATTGCTGGTAACTCAAATTCATTCTCCCTATCATTATTCGTCATGCTTAAGTTGCTTTTATTTATGAGAGAGATATTGTTGATAATATCAACATTGCTAATGAGTTTCTTGAAAGCTTTAATACTTCTACTCATTCTAAAACTTTTTGGACAAAAACTAATCTTATGAAAATTTGTTGTAGGGTTAATCTTTCTTTTTTTAACGAAAGAATGTCTACTTTGGGTTTTATTCCTCAGTTCTGCTAATGAGTTTCTTGGAAGCTTTAATACTTCTACTCATTCTAAAACTTTTTGGACTAAAACTAATCTTATGAAAATTTGTTGTAGGGTTAATCTTTCTTTTTTTAACGAAAGAATGTCTACTTTGGGTTTTATTCCTCAGTTCTGCTAATGAGTTTCTTGGAAGCTTTAATACTTCTACTCATTCTAAAACTTTTTGGACAAAAACTAATCTTATGAAAATTTGTTGTAGGGTTAATCTTTCTTTTTTTAACGAAAGAATGTCTACTTTGGGTTTTATTCCTCAGTTCATCAACTGTATAAAGTCTTGCACTGCCCAATTTCACTTTTCTGTGATTATTAATAGTGAATTTCATGATTTCTTCATCTTCATGCCTGAGACAGTCATTCTCACCTTAACCTCTTTCCTATTGTCATGAATGTCTATTATAGACCTAAAGATCTTCATTTCAAAGGTTCTATCTATGGTCTCAACAATCATAACATTACCCACCTCATTTATGTTGATGATCTTTTGGATTTTCAAAAGGCTTCCACTACTACTAGATGCTCATCCTATGTCCTACAAATCTTTTATGATGTTACTAAACTCTATGTCAACTCTTCTAAATCTACAATTTCTTCTTCTAAACCTATTAGTGAGCAATTAAAGTGACATATTTATGACAGCTAGGGGCTTAAATTGAAGATCTTATCTTGAGAATACTTTGGGCATTACTATAAACTCTTCCAAACTCAAAAGTTGTTGACCACCCAAAAATCACTGACAAAATATTACATTGGTTTGGTGGTTGGAAACAGAAAGCTCTCTTGCACAAGCAAATTCCAATTGGTTAAATCTATTATTTAGAGCTATATTCATTATTGGTTTAGATCATCTATTATCCCCAAATGTCTAAAAAGAAACTATCCTCTCTAATTAATAATTTCATACACCATAATGGCGAAGCTAAAAAATCTCACACCATTGCTTGGAATGCCACCACTCCAACAGGCCCATAGATGAAGATGACCTAGGAATTCCTAATCTGGACATCATCAATCTCTTGAGTAAATTCAAAATTATTTGGAGACACTATAATACTAACTGTTATCTTTATGAATGGTGTCACATCTACAATGAATTTTTATGGTTTAAATTGAATAATAAACAATTCTCTTTTCGGAGAACTTTAATGGAAAATGTTGTTATATTAAGAGAGGTCTCTCCTTTTGAATTAATCGTAATACTAGACTCTCTCTCTCTCTCTCTATTATTGGTTCAACGGGAGCTCTATTTATGAAACTTTTGGGAAATCTTTGGGAAATCCTCCCTCTCTTGGTTCAACTGTGATATGGATGCTAAATTTCTCTCTCTATTATTTGTTCAACGGGAGCTCTATTTATGAGCTCCCTCTCTTGGTTCAACTGTTATATTGATGCTAAATTTCTGATTTTATTTCAAAAAATAGTTCGAGCTTACATACCACTAATAACATTATTGTGAACTGTTTTCAACTTATTTTTAATGCACCCATTATGGATGCCCCTATCGATTGTTCATGGGAGGGAAAAAATTATCATTCTCATAAATAAATCCACCCTTATCCTTATGAAGATCAACCTAAAGTGAGTTGGAATAATGCCATCTGATTTAAAGTTACTTTAAAGATTCGATGATGGATTGAAAAATTTTGGTGGGAGGTCTCGAAACTAAAGATGATCAGCTTCTTAGATGCCTTATGGTAGATCCTAAATATGGTCTTCCCGGCATTCATAATAAAAATCATTCTCACCTTTTATTTGAATTCCCTTACTCCCTTAATGTCCTTAAAAAAAAAAGTATTCCACATAGTCCTTTTGTTCATATGGGACGCAATTTATCCCATTTTTAGAATTATGGTGACACTATTGGATGCAAAATCATCAAGAACTTTTTTCTTCTCTCAGCTCACACCACTTCTGACTATTTATGGTTATAAAGGAACAGTAGAGGATTTACTAAAGTCTCCTCTATTATAAATATTCTTATTAGTAAATTTTCTTTACCATTTGTCAAAAGAACAAAAATTGGCATTACAGGGGGAAAGCCTCTATTTCTCTAATTGATTACCAAGCTACAGATTATCATATGGATTAGAATGTTTTATTTTGATTACTGTCAAGCTTAATTGTGTTTTATCTGACCTTGCAGTTTACTGGTTTTCATTCTTTAATTGGGCTGCCCTACCATAACTGCAGATATTACACTTGGCTTACTTTTGGTTTGGCTTTGAACTATATTATTATATACTAGTTACACTTTTACAGATCCAAACTGTATATTTAAAGTTTTCCTGTAATCTCTGCTGAAGCTCAGTAAGCACGAATGGTTTTATTCTCCTTTGTCAACTATCGATCAAGCCTTGTTCTTCCTTACTGGGCTGTCCTGTCTACATTTTGATTACATAAAAGGGAATTCCTTTACCTTATGATCTTCCTCTACTCTCAGGGGCTTTGTCTGATTTTGTCGGGCCTTCCTAGGTTCATTTTAGACTCGGGGGGTTCTTCTGAGCTCACATATTTTAGTTTTTGAATTTCCTTTGATTTACTTTGTTCATTTCATGTTCATAAGTATGTTGGACTTTTACATATCATATTTTATTTTTGTCTCATTGAGGATCTTTGCAATAGCCATTTAATTTAATAGAAGTTGGGTGTTGCTCTCATTATTCCAAGGAGAAAAAAATATTACTATTAAGAGGAGCTTTGGATGGAAAGACTTTCAGATGATTTCATAGTTGAATAGAATAATAAAAATTAAATGAAAACCAACAGAGTTCACTTTCTATTTTTTTTAATACAATCACTTCAAATGCAATGGAAAGCAAACATGCTTGGTAGGCATTTATTATTATGATAGGAGTTAGAATCAAAAGGAATAAATAACATCTATTTTATTTCAGGCTACATAGCACAAAGCAGTCATATGTTTTCTTCTGCATGATGTGATATTATACAAAATGACGCACCAGAGTTTCAGTTCCATATAGAGAGCGCGCTATAAAATTGATCTTCTTAGTAAACCAAATCAATCATTCCAAGAAACTCCCATCATCTTCGCAGCGAAGCCATATCGATCTGCGGCCTCGTCAATCTATTATAATAAAAGGTCATTTATGATACGAATTAAGAAGGGGCAAAGCTGAGATAAAGTAAGGCATTAAAACATAAAGCAGGTTACGTATACAAACCAGTTTCTGGGTAGGTCTACCAGCTCCATGACCAGACTTGCGATCAATGCGAGCAATGATGGGATTCTTCTGTGGACTATTCTCCAGGCTCGTGCAGAGTTTGTATTGCATGGTCTTCAGACATTAGAAGAATGTAAATATTTCATTATTAAGGATCATATGGTGAAAATACAATGATCAGAAAGTCATATACAAGTAATTGGTATAGCGGCGATAGAGCGTTTAATTTTGGAAAACTTAAATACATGCCACTCAATTCCTATGTATGCGTGCATGTCAAATGTTAAAAAGGTGGCATTTTTTATGTGATATGAAAGATTAGGGTGTTATTGATGTAAAAAAGTAAAGTTTAGGTGTTAGATGTGTAAAAAATATAAAAATTGGGTATGGCCCCTTAATTTTTTGGCATTAGAAATGGAGCTCTCTTGCTAATGATTTAGATATTCGGCAAAAAAAGCAACATTTTTTACACTTCAACTACCATGTTTGTGTGTCGTTTTCACATTGAAGTAGTTAGACAAATGATTTATTTTATCTTCATTGTTACATGTGCTAAATATTTCTCTTATTTGGAGATTATTCTACTTCATTATACTTTTTCCTATTGCTCTCCTCTTGTCTATTAGTCTATATATAAGTAAATGTGTGTACTTGCTTGAGAATCAAATAAGCAATCATGAAACATTTTTATGCGCCCATCAAACCCTTCATGTGAGAAAATATGACACCAGCATGGAAGCTAACATGACAGAAATGGTGCTCCCTTGTTGCATACATCTTCAATAAAGGATCTTTGTTTTTAATATTAAATTTAATAATTCTTTTAAAATTTGTCCCAGGCAGACACTTCTAAGCCTACAATATATCATGCGGCAAACTGCTCCAATTTGGTCACCTGAATAACGCGTTGTATTGAAATTCAATAGAATATTTTATTTACCAGTCCTAGTATCAGTGCAGACAAATTTATATCTCCTACATTAAGATCAGTATCAAATGCAATGAACCATAGTAAATTAAAGGGCATTTACATTCATACCACCCAATTCTTATGTATTTACATATCTGACACATACATTTGTTTCTTACATTTCTACCACACAAATGTTTCATATCTACCGCCATTTTAACTTCTAAAAAGTGAAATTTTTCATGCATGAGTAAGTGGTATGTAAAAGTTGGAAGTTTAGGTGTTAGCTATGTAATATAAGGAATCGAGTGGTATGTATGTAAGTCTTCATAAATTAAATGGCCAGGACTCTTAAGATCGGATTTAGCTGAACTGAGCATTTGCACAACAGCAAGCCATTAAGTTAATCATGTAGTCAGAACAAAAATATTCTTATTATGAATACAAACGGTTTGCAGCAAGCCTATCCTGAGGGATGCAAATCTCAATTGCAAGGTAAAATAAATTATTTTTCTGGAAAATTTTTGGTCAGAAATATAAATAGAAATGATAGAAAAAAGGAAGTGCAACGACTGCTTACTGCCAACAATTTTAATGAGTGCAATGGCACCACACGATCATCATGATCAGCTGTTAGCAACATGGTTGGAGGGTATTGACCAGATGAATCAGAAGACTTCTCCCATGGTCTCTTCACGTTATGAAGAGGTGAGTATCTGCAACATAGAGGTACTATAATATTAGAAATAATGTGAAAACTCATATTTAAAAATTATTTTATTTTATTTTATTTTATATTTAACAAAAAATCTTAGTAATGGTTAAATATGAGCTGATTAACAAAACAAAAGCCGAATCACACAAGTATTTTAACAAATTTATAATAAAAAAATCAAGGCATTTATGGTTATGCAATTCTACAAAGATTGGCACAGATGGCACTTGCAAAATGCATCTGTTTTTTGTATTGTATTTTTTCTTTTGTAAAATGGAGTTAATTTTCCTATAATTATTTCCTCATCATAGTTCTATTATATTCAATATGCCTTCATAATGGTGCATGAGCAACTGAATAATTACAGTTAATAACATCGTTGGTAGTCAATCATTGTGAGTGGTCAGCCAAAATTGCAACTAAAATTTTCTCACTGTGAGAATATTACCCCAAGTACATAATCATTTTTTACCTCCAAAACAATATGTTGGAGCGCCAGTCCTATATGCTAAAATTCTCATAAAATCACATCATTTGAATGTTGTCCCAATTTAATCGAGTCTTAACACAAGTCCATCTAGGTTAAACTTAATTATATAATTGCTCCAACATAATGTAAATTTATTCCAAATGTGGCTAAATTGCAGTCAAATCTAACATGTTCGCTCAAAGGAATCCGGTCTGATCATAAATTGGGCTCCAAATCCTCTTGACTGGATCTAGACCACGCTCAAGTGCACCTAAACGAATAAATGATATAATCTAGTCAAGCAAAAACCATTTGAATTGCCTTTTTCCATGCACATTTAAGTGCTTCACGCTCCAAAACTAATTAATAGCATTGAAAAACGCCTCTCAGAGCATACCATATCCCTTCTCCCGCACAAAAAGCTGATGGCCACCCACCTAGCAGACCTAGTCATTGAAGTCCGGCTTGGTATTCCCTCTAAAATAAAAATAAAAAGAGCTGCTTAAAAGTCGCCTCCAGCAAAAAAAGTTTCAGACTGCTATATGCGCCTATTTATTCTTTCTCCTCACAACTGAAGTACACATTAACATTGACATGCCCATCACTGAGAGAAGCCCTTTCCTCACAAAAAGAAGATGCAGCCTCCTTTCATTTCAAAAGAGGCTCCGACTGCTCCATCTAAACCCGCTAAGCAACTCTTCGACTCTGTCATCTCTCTATGCTTTCCCTTGCAATGTTACTGTCACTCTCTCTCCCTCTTTCTCAATATCTCTTCTATTAATATATATCTCTCACAGCCTCTCTAATTCATTATCTCTCTCTCTCTAAATATCACTCTTTCAATCTCTCTCTCTACCTCGCTTTCTTTGCCCCTATCTCTCTCTATTCACTATCTTAACTCTCTTTCTTCTCCATGTCACATTCTTCAACTCCTTCACTTCTCTCCCTCTCTTTATATCAAAGAGCAATGGCGGTGAATAAAATGCTATAAAAGTCATGTCTCCACAGGCGACAACATCACAATCACTAATTACTAATATAGTCATAACATGTATGACTACACGCACATGGCCAACATCGGGTATCACAGCGCAAGATGACACATCATGCACATTTACAATTTGATTTGCGAGGCATTAGCATCATAGTTCTCTCAAGTCAATATTATTTTATAATTTGAATGTGTATTTACAGGCATAAGTCCAAGGCTTCATCATGCCCTCCATTATGTGATGGGAAGCCCTGCTTCATTATCAATTTGCTAAAATTTATTTTTGCTTGCAGGACATTCCAAGACCCTATTAGGGGAAACATAGAAGGGATGGCAAGATTTCCAGTGAAATTCATTCTCCTATATAACTTATAATTGCCTTTGCAATTTATCTTAAACTCTCATACATACATTTCTTAGTGTGGTTGAAATCCAAACAGACCATTCACAATAAAGAAAATTGCAATAAGTATCCATCTTAATTTGAGAATCAAGTTGTGAAGGAAGAAGGAGATTGAATCTGCTGACTCTAGAACATTCAATTTTTTTTATTAATATTGTAGATGGTAATGATTCTCATATCACGGTGAAAATCAAAGAGAATGTTATTAGGACACCATAAGGATGGCTGAATCGTCAATCAAATATCATACAAAGATATCAAGGTGCTGAGAACTGGACTGTCGGACTAACTCATATTATAATAGGATAAGAATCAGTATGAATTTTTAAGCTAGTTTAACAAACTCGTTATGTTTTTTAATAGAACGGTGATGATTTATGTTGACATTAACTTTTAGTTTGAACTTATCTAGTTTGCTATTTATAAATGGGGTTTTCTTCGATTGTAGATTTTATATTCAAAAGTCTAAATTATGTAGTAAAACCAGTCAGAAAATTCTCCCAATTTGTCCATTTCTCCCGTCTAAGCTGATCACCCCCAGCCCACAGACTTGCCTGTAGCCAAAGGGTGAAAAACCAATGCCGATGCTGTTTTTGCCCCATTGCTCACTACGCAAGCTCTGTTTTTGGCAAGTTGCCGTCTTGCCTGTTATTGCCGCAGCATTACCTGCTTACAATCGATGCTGATCCGCCGCTAATTGTTTTCAATGTTGCTGGTAAATCCAGTTTGCTGATTACAGTAGGAACAACAAAAGAGTGGATCAAGGAGGGTACTCATTCTCTTAGCGAAGAAAAACAAAACTCGAGAGAGGGAAAAGTGTACACATCAAATAAAAGACCAGAACTTGATAGTGATATTTATCTACAGTAATTTAACTAAATTATAGGGTTGATTACAAATCAAGTTGGTATCAAAATATTGATCTTTAGTGCAGGGTAAAGAAGGAATATAAAGAGAAAAGAAAGCCGCTTCATGCTACTGGTTGTATCAACAACAAAGAAAAAAAGGAAAAAAAAGTAGAAAATAAATCAATGGGTAACTATGATCCTACATTAAATCTAGTTGATCAAGTCACTAGACTGATAGAGCATATATGACCTCCCTGTCATGTTGAAATGCCCGACTAAAGATGAATGGCCATCATGAGGCGACTAGAGGATGTTCATGCAAGTGATATGCTGAGTGTTTTGCCCAATGGGGTATGTAGAATATCAGTATAACAAGCAACATTTAAGACAATGCCTCAGATAATATACGCATGAACACCCCACAAAATTCTAACATCAATCGATCACTTTAAAAATAAATCTTTCGGAATTACAGATTTTAATAAAGAACGCCTTATGGCATTATTCGCGAATTACAAATAATCATATATCTCAACTAATCAAGCATGATGGTAATGCTTGTAGAGCTCAAAAATCATGACAAAATTGTCTAAGGGTTTAACTTCTCGAAAACAAAAAGAAGTAAAAAAAGAGAAATAATGCAAGGATGCTCTATGATATTTGTTAAATACATGATCATAATAGAGAAAAATGTTGAAAGGTGCTTCATTAACTCTTCTTCAACAGAGAAAGAATGGGAAAGGAATGATTATTGCTGGTATGAACAACATCGCGCTATTCCTGTACACAAAGAAAACCCATCCCTATCTTTAATGGCTATGTCAAAGGATATGGCGGCAAGATTATCCTCTAATTTGAACACGAGATAAATTGTTCGCTCTTAAGTGATATATCACATCATCTGGATCAAGATAATCAAGGTTAAATTCCAATTACATGAGCTAGGACTAGGGCTGTCAACTTGGCTCGTCGTTCGCGAATAGCTCGTGTTCGGCTCCTTCGTTAATCTTAACGAGCCGAACAAGAACAAACTTTTAAACTAAAAATATAAACGAGCCGAACACGAAAAAATATTTGTTCGCTCATGTTTGGCTCGAATTGGCTCGAAAAGAAATAAATAAATATATTGGTTCAGTTCGGGCTAGCCAAGCCAATAACACCAGTTTTTCTCAATTCATCGGGAATAACATCTCAATAACACCTCGGTAACACTACCAATAACACCTACTTGAAGCCGCGCAAACCTCCCAATAACACCACTCGATGTCACTGGCGCAGAACCGTAATAACATCTCAATAACATCACGGTACAACCTTCAATAAAACCAACTTGACGCCGCTGCTGCGGAACCGTAATAACACTACGATAGAACCCGTAATAATATTGCAATAACACCCGTCAATACCGCCGCAAATTCTTCAACCATGTCGCACTAATACTACCCTTACCGGCGCGATCCAACCCCAATAACACCACGCCGAACACGAGCCAAACAAGAACACCAATATGTTATTCGAGCCGAACACGAACACACTGTTCACGAGCTAATTTCGAGCACGAGCCAATTTCGAACAAGCCGAACACAAGCCGAGGCAGAGCTCGCTCAGGCTCAGCTCGTTTACAACCCTAACCTAAGACTAAAGATTTAGAAAAAAAAAAAACCAAAGAAAAACCCCAAATACAACATTCCAATCAAAAGCTTAAAAGAGCCCAAAATTTAAAATATTTTATATGTAATATATATTTTAATGTTTTGCCATTTTTATGTGTCACAAAAGGGCATATATAGCTAGCCTTTAAATGTTTGAGAATGGACGAAGTAATAAAAATAAGTAGTTGAAACTACTTCATTAATGGCCACCAATCCCCTTTTCTGTTCTTTTTTCCCTCTCATTTTTCCAATAATAAAATTTATCCTAAGAGAAATGTTGTGATTATAAATATGACCTCAAAAGCAATATAACTGCAAATTTATCCCAAGAGTACTTATATTTAGTTGGTACTTAATGGCTTCAAGTGTTGCCTCTTTCCGTAAGTTAGTAGTCATCCCTCTCATGCCTAAGTTTGTTACTCGTCCCTTCCTATAGCAGCTCAGACTCTTCTCACATCTTACTCTAGTTCATATGCATCATCCATAAACAACAAACAAGCAACAAAAACCCTCAATTTCACCCCAACCGCCTTAATAAAGCTATTGGTTGTGGGATCCAAATTTGCTCCCCAACCTCCCTCAAAGATAAATGAATGAGAGATTTTATATGAGTTTCAAGCTCAACTTGTCAAAAGGCA